GTTTCCTGTTTAGTTTTATTGCAGAAGTCTGGACTTGCGGTTTGAAACCAGAATATTTTTAAAATATTTCTTCAATGTTCGTTTTGCCAACTCTTTTAGTTTTATTCAGCAGCTTTGCGTCCAGATTTCTTACCCATTTAGTTCATTCCTTTTATAAAGAATTTACACTATTTATTCTCTCTTTTACAATGAACTATTTGATTACCAAGAAGTTTTCGTTAACGCATTTTTAAGAATGTTGAATTATGATGTGCAGTATTTTTGCAACTTTTCAGAACCTTGATGACATATACTGCAAATGTGCACGAATACTGCTTTAAAAATTTAATTCTACTTAAAGGCAGGAATTAAAGGACTGAATATTGCCCATTGCAATAGTTTCGAAAATCAAGTTAAAGATGTGAAGAATTTTCTTAACTTGGTTCTGATCTGAGAATTAAATAAATGTGTTTAATGTGTTTTCAAAAAATTATTTTGTCCCTAAAACTATAACGAAAATTAAGAACCTTACGCTCTTGTTCTGGTACAATTGATTATGTTTTACAGTATAAATTGAGCTCTTAAATTTTGATTAGAGAACTTCATAATTTTCTTGGTGGGTAAAAAATGCTTAGGTAAAACATGCAGGTCATTTGAATTTTTTTAAAGAGACAAGTAGCCATAGATTAATTTCAAAAAATTTAAGGGGCCAGAAGTCATGAGTTTAATTTGAAGTCAACGCTCATATTTGTCTTAATGAATACAAATAACTAAATGGTTGCTTCAAAATGTAGTACCATAATCTCGTTTAAAAGTGGTTTTGATTTTACTAAAATATTTATCAACATCTGCTCCTGCACCCCAGAGCCCAAGGTTAAGAAAACTGAGATGGGCACAGTAGGCCTTGGCCCTCTATGGGCTGTCGTGCCACTGAGTATAGTATTATATATATATATATAGATAGATAGATAGATAGATAGATATAATTTGTAATCTCGTCCGAATAACTTTGAGCCGTTAAATTGCCTTTCCGAATGAAATGCAGGTCAATACATCCACCTATGCTGATTCCAGCTCATACGATCAATCCACTTCGTCTGTAATGTGATCTTTCCTGAGCAAATATAGGGTTATTTCGAGTGCACCTTTTTCACATTACTGAAACACGTCTGATGTCACACTCTAAACTGAATCCGTCCGTAAACAGCATTTGACTATAATCACTTTGCATCCGATCTCTTTGTTCAACAGTTCACTTTCTTCGGGCAGCACGGTGTCAAAGAAACACACACCATTGGGCTACGTGCATACAGGCCAAATTCATAAAGCCTATTTAGAATTGCTTGGCTTGAGACCCTTCGCCGTATGTCAAATGAAATTTTCTTTGAATTAGCATGATATTGGCTGTTCTGTCTCGACGAGCTGTTCTCTGGATATATCGGTTTTCATTCCGGTTTTCGGTAGGACGAGGGCGACCTTGTCCTGGACGATGTCAAACATGCCCTGTTTCTCGGAATCGATTCCACTTCTGCGATGACACTTCTTTGTCCGCATTCACTCCAGTCTACCGATAAAACGCCACGGATTCTGGTAGATCATGTTGTCTTGCCATTTTTAGCAAATTTTTCTCCAAAAAAAAAAAGTCGAAATGTGGAATTTTACCACTGCGAGATAACGAAAGATAGCAGCTTCTGCAAAATCAAAATTTTTACACCTCTTTCCCTTTTTTGGGTTTTGACCTCGTGAGCTTTTATTTGTGTTGGAAATTTTCTTCTGCTGTTTTCTGCTATACTTTAGACTATGGATATTTTGCTTTGACTTAATGAACAGAAGAACCTGGTTGGCATGACAATGGACTCGCGGCCGTGAAGACGGGAGTTCGAATCCAGCTGACCGAAGACTCCCCGGGTGAATGGCGCACGTTAAATCAGTCGGGTCACAAAGTCCTCCATGTTCTCATAACAAATCAATACCTCTGGGGGTACTGAATTAGAGATGGATCGTCTTCTGCTTCAGGTCAAAACTAAGATCTGTGTATGAATGAATGAATATATGAATGGGTCCGCCCTATGAACGGGTGTGGCAGAAGATTGGCCATGGATGACTCCACTAGGAAATAAGACCCAATCTGCCTTAATAACCTACGACAAAAACAACAGAAGAAATATTTGGGTAACATCGTTAAATCCATGTGCTAATTTGTTTGAGTATGGTATTTATGGTACTGAATTTTCAACCTATGGGGTCGTTCATAAATGATGTTTCTTTCACAATATTTTCGCCCTCATCCCACTTCAGCATATCCCTTTATTACATAATCCTAGCAGTTCAGTACATGTTTTAAATCATATCTCAAATTTTATTTGTATACTTTGTGTATTTTAATAACTTCCATTGTTAAGCATAACAATAAATAAAGTATAGAAAACTGTCAAATATTTCGAGATATGTATCAGATCAATAATTAAAAATAAAACTTCCGGAATATCATCAAATAATGCATTCAGGGATATCAAAAACTACGCCAAACCCCACCCTCCGAAAACTGGAGTTGGGCCAAATTCAAATTATGAAGCGTCTGTTGTCACATGAAATAACGGTTTTGGCGAATAATGTGCTATTTTCTTAACTGCCATAAGTAATAGTTATTCGTATGGATGTTAGAGCAAGTTTAGTTTAGCCAGCGCTTTCTATTCAATGTCTAAAAATGGGGCTAAACTTCCGGTGGAAAAAAAGTCACAGTTTTATGAAAAAAGAAAAGCGTTCCTGATCGATTTTTTCACATTTCAAAAGATACTTCAAAACGATTTTTGCGGGCTCATAAAAATCTGCTAAAATTAAGAATTATTCATTGGCTTTAATAATTTTCATTCATGTCAAAAAAAATCTCAGCCATTTGGCGACTTTTTAAAAAAGTTTAATAATTTTTTAAATATTAAGTTATAGAATCCATTTTAAAGAGCAGATATATTCCTTACGGCAAGATAATTTCAAAATTAAAGACACTGAAACAGTTGCTTTTTTTATTTTCTTTGAATCGCATGAATTTTGAAAACGGTTTAAGGGTTTTTTGTAGCAAATTTTTAGATTTTTTTCTTGAAAGAAATATGTATAACCTATTTTATTCCGCGAAATTTGACGAGATGCCATCAAAATGTATCTTGAGTTATATTAAACTTGTTTATGGTTATTTTTAAGATTGTTTACTTTTAATTCTAAATGAGGTAAGCCTGATAATGAAAGAATAACGGCGGAAGAAAGCAAACGATCAAAAAAATCAATGGTTCCATATATATTAATGGATCTGAAATGATGAGAAATACTCACCCAAAATGGATATCGAAGGAGTTTTGGACCAAAACAATGGCAACGCTATCTTTTGACGCCAGGTTAAATGATGGGAGCAAACTGAAATATTCAACAAATCTATCTTTAGACAGAAAACTTATTTATTTCATTTATTTATTTTGTAGACATAGATAGCTTTTTCTTAAATAAAATTAAAATCTAAACTCATTTAGTACTATTAACGTATTTTAACTGTTATAAAAAGCTTCGAACCAACTTAATCCTTTCTTTCGCTTTGTCAGTCAAAATGCTTAAATCACGTAAAATTTCGAATAACCCACACCTTCCCTTACTGCAGCTAAGCACAAAGGAAATAAGGTGGAATGATGTTCGTTTTGCACTTTTTTGTATTGATACCAGAAACGAAATTTTTTTTCTCTCTTTTTATTCTTTTTTCATATAATAATGCTCGCATAAACAGCATGTTTCCCTCAAAAAATAAATAAATGAAAAAATAATGAAACAAAAAATAAATAAAATAAAAAACAAATAAATGAAAAATAAATATATGAAATAATAATAATAAATAAATAAATGAATACAATTGCCGCTATAGCGGAAGGCTAATAATGTTTAATTCGTTAATAAACATACAGTTTTCGTATCTTCAATGTTATCATCTTGATAGGTATTTGAAAACGTGTCGTTATAGTGAACTTTTTTCCTTAATAGTTGTTATATCGAACCTTTGCTGTATGTTAAAAAAAAATCGATTTGAGCAAAAAGTTCTAGAATTATTAAAAAATGCGCAAAATTGAATTTGATATGAAGGGATTCGAATGATGGGATCAACAGTTATCGAACAGATTGCGCATCTTAAGGATCGGTCATCCAAATCTATCGATAAAAATGTATATATGTATAGAGACAGTGCATTTTTGTACTCTATTTCACGTCTTGAAATATTTTAGCACTCTTAAATCACAAAGCACATTTAAATCATTTTAAGGATATGAACTCTCGAATTGCATAAAGATTGAATCTGTTGCATTAAGAGGTAAACATTGCATCGTAATATATGAAAATCCGATCACTAGATCAAAAGTTCTGTTTTTAATTTTGAGCACTTTTTTGCATTATTAATCAAAAACCATATCATCATCAGGCAAAAATTACTTTATTTCACTATTGCCAAAGTAAATAGTGTTGTCAATCGTAGTTGACTGGTTTAATTTCGTTGAAACTTGAATAATCTTCGATTATATTTAATTTTTTAAGGTGAAAATAATTGCAGCGCCGTACGATGTAACGTGTACTATTAAAAAACGATTTTTTTTCCTTTCAAATATATCTTGTTTGTTTGTTTACATTGTGGCGTAACTACCACTATAAATAATTAAATACCAAATCACTAGTATATAAGACATGTTAATCCATCACGAGGTACCTTTTGATAGATAAAAGTTGACATAGTCTCTGAGATATAAAAAAAAAATCTCACAATGGTGACCTGTCGACGTGATATGAACTCGCTAATATGATGGATGGTCTACATTAGAACAATTGATTTGCTTAATATAAACTGCTCTAAGAAAAAAAAACCCGGTGAAGTAAATAAAGTCTCCCGGTAATAATCAATATAGGAAAAAAATGAGTGAAATGCTATAAAACAAAAAAAAATGAAGAAAAAATATAATGAGCAAAAATGTTATAAATAAATAAACATCATGAATCAACTAGTGGTATTCATTCATCGAATTCTATCCCAGATAAAATTCTGAAAGGGGAGTAATGTGGCGTAACTACCACTATGAATGTTAAATGCCAATTCACTAAGACATGTTAACTTGATTCTATCGAGAGGTACCTTTTGATAGATGAAGGTTGACATAGTCTATAATTACAACATTTTACTAAAACAAAATGTACTCACCAACAATAAAAGAAAGCAAACGTTCTGACAATATAGTTTCCTCAAATTGTCATATGACCATCGAGTGCGAATGCATTGCTGAGAATTTAAGCATTCGATTTTATGTCTCGTAAAGTTTCCTTCAAGGAATATTTCTTTAAGATAAAACTATTTTCCTTGTCGAAAAGTATTGTGTGATCACTTAAACTCCGATTAACATCCAAAAAATAAGTGACCATAAGAAAAGTAAAAAAAATATCCCATTTCAGCTTTGTTCGGTGATCAATAAAACTGACTATTGATGATCAACTGATTTGACAAATGTTTCTTAAAAGGATAATTTGGCGAATATTAAAACAAGTAGCGTCATGTCTCATTATCAATGGAAATCTACGAATTAAATCTTTATGGCACCAACATTAATGGTTTGTTGAGGTTGAATATTGAAATCTGGGTAGAATTTTATCTCTGCGCAGCAAATAATTTAAATCAACTAGGGCAGGGGTGGCGAACCTTTATACACCAACGTGCCATTTTTTCTAAAAAATTGTTTAATGAGGTCATAGACGTGCCGTCAAATAATTTTGACTTCTTGATTATTGGAAAAATAATAATACTAAATACTGTCAAATCAAAACTCTTTGTTTACATTGAAAAAAAAAACATTTTGCCATGTCTTAAAACAACTTCAGTGTGACTTCTGTTTTTGCAGATTAGATGACAAATAACTTATATTAGGTTGTAAGATGTTATTTTTTCTTTGCAAGTTATTTATTGTTAGCTTGTTTTTTATGGTTATTAATTGCTTTTTAGCATTAATTGTTAATTTTTTTATTAATAATTGCTTATTTCGTTCGTTTTTGTGAATTTTAATTTAATTGTTTCATATGCTTCATGGTGTAATAACAATTCATAGTGTAATAACAATTGTGATCGGTGGCGTGCCCAAAATATTGTGTCTCGTGCCATAAATGGCACGCGTGCCACTGGTTCGCCATCCCTGAACTAGGGGATATAAGCCCCCTGTTCGCTGCTGCTCACCAACCCAAATGATTGCTTCGCAATAGATGCTGTTTCTTGGCAGAAAACAATGTTCGACTGAAGTTAAAATTATTCACAAAACATTTATGTACTAAAAGGAATTCTGTTTGCTTACGCCTTCACTTTCCACCGTCCAATTACTATTATCTTTGGCCAAAGGATACTGTGCTCTTTGTTCGCCAAGCTATTATCTATTAGTATTATAAATAATTAGATCTATTGGTGAACAGAAGCAATTTTTCTCAGTAATCATTTTTTGAAGTGACATATATATGGTTATAACATTATATATTGTTCAAACCAATAGGATGAGTTCACAACCGTAATTTAATATTTTCGCGCTTACCAAACTGGCGGATGTATTAAATATACTATTTTCTCTTGCATCTGAAGTGGATCATTAATCATTTAACAGATCTCTTTAACTGTCATTTATAACAGTATATATTAATTTATTTGAACAAAAATAATGATTGTAAAACGGTTAATAAGATTCGACCACCTTTCTAAATAACTTTATCTTAAAATGTGGAGCAGATTTCCATAATAATAATAATAATAATAATAAAAACAAAAAAAAACAATTATCTTAGTTTTAAACTGTAGAATTATGCTGATGACAACCGAAACAATAAAGAAATGAATGAGGAAAAACTGGATCTTTCGACGTGATTTTCCAGTCAATAAAAATGCACGGACAACAATGGAAAACTGTGACATCATCATCAGATTTTCATATACAGTAAGATATTAAAAAATCATAAGAGCCATCGACGCTGTTTTGGGTGTTCAACTTAAAGTAGCATTTTGTTTTGCTGCACATAAACTATACGACTCAAAAACTTGAAACTACGCAGATGTGTTGAAAAATGCACGTAAGTAAAACGGAATAAAAAAATTAGTCAATTAATTTGAAAATTATTAAGTGTTCAGAAAACTTGTTCAGAAAAAATACCTGACGGGCATCAATGCAGAATTGCAACTGCAGAAGGTTGGGGAAGGAATTGAAATATTCGGTATGCTGAAAGGGTTAGCTTTTTTTTTTTTTCAAAATTCCAATTTGTTCGGAAGGTATTGAAATTTTAAATGCCTTTTGTTTTCAAGTGAAGCATATTTTGCAACGTACGAATGTGACCCATATACTTGTATGACATTTTTTACTAAGCATTTTTCCGCTGTGAATCGAATAAAATTACGTACAAGTCGATGGAACAAATAGTTAAAAAACTGCACAAGTTTTTTTTAATTTTTTTTTATAAAAAGTACTACTTCTGACACTTGTGTATACACTTTACAGTGCTATTCAGGAATTATCTCAACATGTAAGATATATTTTCCGACGTAACTTTTAATACTAAATTGACCTATAACTTCTTAACTATTAGTTAACTCTTAACTTCTTAACGATTTCGATGACGAGCGGACTAATAGTTAAGAAGCTATAAGTAGTTTATGTACAAAAGGATTTCAATTTTCTACTTTCGCTTATTTATGCATCCTACATAGCTATACAGGCAAGTGAGGTATTATTACTTATGCATTTTTTTTCTCGTTCGGAAAGTGGATATTGAAGAGTTAGAATGAATTTATAAAATAAAATTTACTATTTTTGAATTGCGCTTATTATGAAGAAAACTTTTATAACTTCAAAACTATTTATACTATCAACTCGAATTTTTATTTTCTTCAATTTAGCATTATTCATAGGAGAATTTACTTCGAGTGTTTAGATAATCGATAGTACTTAAGTAATTACTGTACTAAATTATGTCAAAAGTAGAACCTTTTATACCTGATACAAAAATAGGTACAAGTTTGAACTTTTTGTACATAAAATCCCAATTGCTTTTAAACAATTAGTTCGATCGTCTCATTTAATTCAGGGTGAAAAAATACAGCGGTAAACGTTTTACAGCTGATTTGTTTTACTTCTCCGTCTAGAAAAAATTCCTGATGATGACCTTATTTTCCCACAAAAAAATGCCTACAAAAGAAAGTGGGGAAAATTTTCACGTATCATTTATTAAAAAAAAGGATATTTTGCAAATTTACGATAGCTACCATGCGTAAGATTTAAAGTAATGGTGCATGCACCAGTGAAAAAAATGTCAAACATACGTAAGTGAGAATAAGAGATTATGCAATATGAATTTAACTTAGGTCACAAAATCAAAACAAACATTTACAATGGATGTAGATTTTTAAATTTCTAGCATACGTAGCATTTGTAGATATTTTGCTCTACTGAGGATCTGCGGTTAGAAAAATTTGGTAGATTATAGATTTCGAAAAATTCAGCGATAAAGAATGCAGCTTAATATTATTACTATTTATTTTTAAAAAAAATATTATCGAACTTCTATTGATTATTTGACTTCTTTTAACTAAATTGCATAGTTAACGATAATTTGTCATTTTAAAACAGCGAAAATATATCTGGTTTCTTGTGGAACTAGTGCAATTAGACAACCATAAAGTGAAACAAAAACCAATCCAATTATTTTTTTATTGAATGAACTAATGGTTGTAAGACCACACGGTTTGTTTCTAAATTTCATCAAAATTCCCATTCCACGTCCATGCTCTTTTAGTTCAAAGGTAGGCAAACAGCATTTAACAGCTTTGCTTGTCTTGGTAGCGTTAATCTCTCCAACATAACGTAAAGATACGTAGCATCAAAAAATAAACGCGATCCTGCGCAGTTGCGTACGGAAGCTAACGTAAGCTAACGTAAGCGTGCGAAATTATCCCTAATAACACAGACAAAGCTCTTAGGGCAAAAATATTTTGGGTATTCATTTTTCGAACGAATCACCTCTTTACTGGACTAAAATACGAGTATAGCGACATATATATTTCGAACATTCTTATAGGATAGAAAATTAATCAAATTACACAATAACTTCTTTTAATAAAAATTTATATATGTTATTATTATATAAAAATATATATATGAAAATATTATATAAACTAACATAAACTACTGCATTGATATATTTTACTTTGACTACATTAATACAATATTCGAAAGCACTCTTTTTTTCAGATGAAATCGCATGAGCTGGCGACGAGATTATATTTTTTCTTTATTTTGTTTTCCGACTTTTTTTTAATTTAANTAACGCCACTTGCAATAAACCTGAATTTGGTTGGAGTCTTATGGAATTTTGGATTGGCAAAAAGAAAAGGAAAATTGTTAATATTATTTGGTTTAATTTTAAGTCTTTTATAGATAGCATTAATTTTATTAATAATAATATCACTGTTGGTGTTAAGTTTTTTGTAGGTAATATTGCTATTAAGTTCATTGGAAAGAAGTTGTTTGTAAAAAAATTTTCAAATAATTGCAATATATATATATATATGTTATTGCCATTCTTTAAATATTTCACAATTTGTCGACACAAAATGGAATTGCTTTATATATATATATTTAATCTAAAAATCTTAATACAGAAATAAAATTGCGCATTTCGATTTCTTTTTTAAATCTTAGACGTTTCTATATAAAGTTGAGACGGGATATTTTCAATTAAATAAAAAGTGGAAAAAAATTTTTTAAAAATTTAAATAAAAATTAAAATTTTTTTGACTACTCATTAAATTTTAAAAATAATCCAAGCATTCGTTTAAAAAAATGTCCATACCCACTTAATAAAATAGTGGAGCGTAACTCACCTTTGAACGATTTTGCAAACGATATTTTGAGGAAATATTTCCACGTTCGTCCACTGACAGAAGAGAATCGTCGTCTGCACAGGTAATAAAAAATGTTTTCAATGCGACCTTGAAATAGAAGAGGTGAACCGGATGACATGAAGTGAACTCTTCTTTTTCTCACTGCCCCATCCACAAACACGTGAGAGGAAGAACATGAAATAATAAACAAAAGCATGTCAAAATTCTCTGATGATGGCAGCAGAGTAGCAAGAGGGGTCAGACACACAAGTAGGGGGTCCAAGTCGGAAAGTTAGTCAAACATTTCATACATAAAGTTGAGTTGTGTGTGTCTTAACTTTTGAAGATTTTTTTCACCTCTTATACGTATCAAGATTACCTTCATTTATTTCATTTGTAGCAACCCCACATTATAAAATTCCTAGCGCGAAATTCTAGTTTGTTTAGGATAAAGTTATAAATGAATTTGAGAGTACTTTTATGGCGAGAAATTTTTTTAATTTCTTTTTTTCTTCTCAACTTCAACCAATGGTGTGTAGAGATTTTGATGCAATCTCTGTGAAAGGGAAAAAAAAATCTAAAGGAAAGAAAGATTAAAACATACATGGGAACGTTACTTTTAAAAAGTAACGAGTAAAAGTACAAGTATTTCGAGCAAAAGTAACGAATAAAAAGTAAAAAGTTTCTATTTTGAAAAGTAAGGAATAACAAGTACAAGTATAAATCAAAAAAAGTAGCGATATAAAAGTGCATTTCGAGGAAATCGAAAATTCAAAGTAACCTTAAATGTAAAAAATAAATAGAAAATAATTGTATTCAATATTCAGGTAACCTCTTGAAATCCATTAAATTAAAATTATGATTAATTTTTATGAAAGTTAAAAAAAAATTTAGAATGAAATAAAGAACTTTTACAGACATCGCACGCATGGGACGTCACAAACGGGCGAGGAGGGAAAGGAAACGCGGCAGACGCAAAAAAATTCTTAATGTTAGTCTATATAAACATTAACATTAATAGAGTCCCCCTAATTAAAATAAATCCTTAAAAAAGGCAGTACTTGGTGTTGGTTCGTTAAAAAAATAAATAAATAAATATATTTTGTTCGGGATTGCATAAATATGCACCAAAGTTTCAACCAAGGTCATTTCTAAAAAAAATCAATTTTTTTGTTGATTTTCAGTCAAAAGTGGATGCAAAAACATTTAATTTTACTCTAATTACGTTTCCCTTACATTTAAAAATCCAAAATACCGTCTATATGAACTACGTAAGCACTCTAAAACTAATTCGAAATCTAAACAAACTGAGGCTAATTATTCATTTTCAGAAACTATAGTGGTGCTTAGCTTATCCAAAACAGTCTTAATTCTCTCGCTAATAGTTTTCGCCTAACTTAATTTACGTGATGCAACAAAAGCAATTTTCATCGTTGAAATAAAATAACTGTTAACTGCTTCAACATTTTGATACCTGAGTCGTATAACAATCATTTAAAAACATTTGGGTTTTTACCCTCAAGAAAGGGCGATTAGATAAGGCAAGCGAACCTTAATCATTTCGGTTTAGCCTTCAAATATTTGATACTAAATAATATGAGAATGTTAAAACGACTGTCATTTTGCGATTTGAGTTCTGTAATGATGATCATAATGCATTAGATAAGTATTATATATACAGTAAGACCTCGATTATACGAGCTAATTGGGGCCGCTAGTACCTCGGATATCGAAAATCTCGGTTAATAGGAACCATGTATAAATACCTTCCGTGCTTGCGAATTTAACTACTTTTAAAGTAAAAAACAATAGAAGGTTTTTTAAATGACAAAAATAAACATATATGAACTTATATTTCACAGCTAAAAAAGGAAATCAACTCTAGTAGTAAATTTTAAAAAGTAAAATGGAATTTTTTTTTAAATATCGAAAGACGCATTTTCAAAAATAACACAAATCTCAAGAAAATATTGTGTTTTTAAAATTTACATGCTTAAACTTACAAGTCACATGACCACTGTTAACAAAGCATTCATGGATGTTCATCTTCTCGGGGTGTAATATTTCATGGAAGTTGAGTGCTTTTGTGGGAAATAAGTGCCTGTAACACGGATAACAAACTAATATGTGTATAATTTCTTCCAAGCTCATTTTGGAGAGGAGAAAAAAAAATTTATACTTCATTATTGCCTCGGTTAATCGAAGCCCTATTAATCGAGGTTCTACTGTATATAGAAAAATATTAAATTATGTACGGGAAAATGTTCTTTGCATTTTGAAATTATCTTTATCATATTTATTGCATTTTGATCTTTTGTTCTCTTTTCAAACTGTTAGATATCAACAAAACCATCTCTTTGACGACTATCTTATTCATAAATTTTCTCTAACAGCCATTATCTGGAATTTATAGGATAACAGATGTATTAAGCTTTAGGGATTTAAGTAGAGGGAGACTCTTGTTGACATTTTCGAGGATTTTGGTTATTTTGTTAAGAAACTTTCTCTGGCATATAATCATTCTAAATCTTCTCTTACAAAGCACTCACAGTTCTGTTCTACTATCATTTAAATTAACTATTTCCAGTTCAAAATTTTGATAAATATAAATGTTCTGTTTACTTTTATTTCGTTTCATTAATTGTTTTAACCAGAGCCGTTTCTAATAAGGATGGGCAGTGTGATAATGTTAATTATCACAAGTTTATTCTCTCCTTAATATAATTTTTTTTTTTTTTAAATTTGCTTCACTTTTGTTCTTTTAATATTTGCTTTAACTTTGTTTTTTTTAATTTGCTTTAATTTTGTTTTATGCTCTTAACTTCATTTAACGTTCAGTTTATAATTAAATCATTTATCAATTTACAATGTACATGTTATTTACTGCATATTTTTTTTTTAATTATTAACTTTTATAGATTTATTGTGTTTTATATTTTAATTATGCAATTGTAATTTATCTATAATTGTCTATTACTGTTTTTTTCTTTTTTCAGTCATGCACTGCCTTGAGAAATTTTCCCCAGTCTCTTCCTTTACCAAGGGTAATTTGATACAATCTCCGCACCCATCCTCTTGGTCCCATCTTCCTTTAACTCCCATTTCTTGCAGGGAGGAATTGGACCCTTTCGTTGCAGCTGCATCCGCTGGTCAACCGTGAGAAATAGAAATATATAAGATTTTTAGTCTTGTGCCCTTAACCTTGTGACATCTTCTTTTCTTTGACTTGGTAGGTGATTTTTTAATTGTGAACCGGACGGTAATCGTTAATTTTTTTTTCGTGTGATTTATTTCACACAAATTTTTGTTTCATGCAAAATTGATTTTATCAATTTATTATTTTCTCAATTTTCCCATTCGCCACAACAACAAAAAATCCAGTACTGGTTTGCCACGTGTAAGACAATTGATTTTTTTTCTTCTAGTGTTACTTCGATGTACATTTTTTTTTGTGTTTTGTATTTATCATGTGTACATTTCGCATACTCATTTTTATACCAAATTTTTTTTGTATCTCAAACGTATAACCCTGTTGAGGTGTATACCGATTCAAACACCCAAGCACAGCACTCCATCATAAATTCATTTAAGTGTGGATGGTATGCAAATGTTTCACACTAATTTTATTTTGTTTGTCATCAGTCATGTGCACATAAGGGACATTAATTATCCCTTGATGATTTTAACACACAACATGATTAATTCAGAGTGTGTTTAAAGTGGATGATGAATCCATATTTATGTTGACTTTGAATCTAATCCTGAAGGAATCTGCCTCAACACATCAATTCACTTGCATGCAGATGGTGATATTATCTAGAAAGTGTCACATGACATGTCTTTTGTTCATGCCTCCTTGCTAGACACTGCCCATGTCTTCTTCCGGGACGATGCGGTCCGTCGTATGGTAACAGGAACATATCCGGAATGTTCTGAAATACCTGTCCCCCGAGTGATGATCTGCACCTCTTCAAGAAACTCTACTACTTCCCAGCAGTGTGTGAATACGGAAAGTGTTAGATGGTTCTTAAGAACAATAGTGATCTTGCATATAATGGTAATAAAGTGACTGGCAATAAGGGTTACGTTTGCTTCAATACAGTGAAATTATCGCTGGTGTAATCCAATGTACTTCGAATAGACGATTCAGTAAGCATAATACTAATGTTTGGTTAAAGTTATTGGTGTAACGTTATTGGTTGGTCATACTTAAAGAAATGTCAGAATACATTGAACTATTTGACGCAAGGTTTTAGCATTGTTACCTTTATATAACATTTTACATATGTGATGACAAGTAAATTTTTTTACATAATTAGTGTTCTTATTAAGTGCAATTCTTGAGTGCACGCGCCTCACAATCACCTTGTCTATTCCATATGCATTATTTGATTTTGGCCATTCTAACCTACCAATTTTTTTGCTTGGCTCAAAATTTATTTTTTTAATCATTTTTGTTGGTAAATACCAGCAGCGGTTTAATTTTCTTTTTGTGGATTGTTCTATCAAATATTTTGTTCTAGTACATTGAGTGAACAAAATCTATCTAGTTTTTTTAATTTTTTTGAAAATTATCTCTTCAAAAAAAAATCAAAAGTTTATTCTCTCCTTATATAATTTTGCTTTTTTTTTAAATTTGCTTCACTTTTGTTTTTTTAATATTTGCTTTAACTTTGTTTTTTTTAATTTGCTTTAATTTTGTTTTCTTAATTTGTTTTAGTTTTATCATCTTAACTCTTAATTTATTATTTACGAATTCCTGCTCTTAACTTCATTTAACGTTCAGTTTATAATTAAATCATTTATCAATTTACAATGTACATGTTATTTACTGCATATTTTTTTTTAATTATTAACTTTTATAGATTATTATTATGCTTTATATTTTAATTATGCAATATTAATTTATTTATAATTGTCTATTACTGTTTTTTTCTTTTTTCAGTCATGCACTGCCTTGAGAAATTTTCCCCAGTCTCTTCCTTTACCAAGGGTAATTTGATACAATCTCCGCACCCATCCTCTTGGTCCCATCTTCCTTTAACTCCCATTTCTTGCAGGGAGGAATTGAACCCTTTCGTTGCAGCTGCATCCGCTGGTCAACCGTGAGAAATAGAAATATATAAGATTTTATGTCTCGTGCCCTTAACCT